GAAGACCAATTGCTATTATAACTATTATTTGCATGAGACAGCCCAGTTATCATCCTTAAAATTACTTTATTCCACAGCTCCTTCACAACACCAAATACTCTAATTGTTTTGGAATGAAAACTTCCAAAATATTCCAATAATTTCAAAAAAAAGTGACACTATAAACTCATATGAAAATAATTTTTGATTGAGTGAATAGGGAGAAAAAAAGCTAAACAAACATTCAGATAGACTTGCAACAGATGAAATGCAAGAGGAAAATTATTAACAGTAATAAGGCTTTCTTTACCTGACAGATTTATAGCTATTCAGTGAAAACTGTGTATTTTGAAAGGTTAAGTAAAAGATTAGCTACTGGGAAAATTATACTGTAGTTCTGATGTTTAAAAAGAAAAAAACCAAACCAAGCAAAATCCAGATATGGATCAGTTCCAGCAGTTTTACCAAAGCACAGTGATCAATCTGTTGATCTCTTTTTTGCATCTGTTGTATTGCATTCTCCCACTGCCTGATGACTTCTTGCCTTTCTTGATGAACTCGGCGACAATCTTCAGCTGCCCTGTCAAGCTCCATCTGTTTAAAAGAAAGTACCCCCATGATTCCTGGTGTTAAAAATGTCACAAGTAACCAAGGAATCTCCAAGAACCTTAAGCACAAACCTGAGCTGTTAAGGTCTCTGTAAGCTCATTATCAAGAGCTCTGCGCTTCTGATTTGCCTGTATGGTCAACTTTTCTACTTGAAAGGTTAATGCCTGAAAATGAAAGGATATGAAAATATCATGTATTTGAAAACAAATAGATTACATCTTATAGATTCTTAAAGCCCTGCTACAATTAGAGGTTGAATTACTGAGGCATCAATTTTATTCTGCTTTAGAGAACAAAAAGCTGACAGTTTAGCCTCCCAGATTTTCAGTCATACAATAGGCCATAATCACATCAGCCCTTGGGACCAGACTGCAACAAGGGCCAAGTAACTCCCCAGCTGTGTGTAAATGCATGTGTGGTGTCCTACTTCACTCTTCCTACTATGCTGTGTGACTGCTACTGTAAATGATAGCAGTGAGACTGTTTGTGCAAACTAAGTTTTTGGGTTAAGTACTTAATGAGTAAAAATCAAATTTCTCCTCACTGTATTTAAAGGCTAAAAAGAAAAATAACCCAGGTTACTTATCTCTATATTAATAATATACTTGAGAACTAACCCTTAGAAAGTATGAACTTGTGACTGGAATCTCTGTTTATACAGATATATATGTTTATATCTTTCATTATTCCAGGTAGCTTTACTGAAGTAGCTGTACTTTGTTTTCAGCCATATTGACAAATTTGGTTCTAAAAGGGAAACCTACACTATTCATCCACACTTGGGGTGGATTTTTGATCCAGCTCCTCTGAGTTCAATGGCACTGTTTTCCAGATTTTATTATCTATTTGTGCACCCTCTCAGAAAAATTTAAATTTTACCCAGACAAACAAGCAAATTAATGTCTTAAATCATGCCTTTCATTGCTGTAACAGTTGTTCTCTCTGATCTTTAAAATGAACCTTATATGGAATTGCACTGTTGTGCTAAATGAAAACCAGTTTAAAAGCACTGTTGTACAAAATCTTGTTTCCATCTTATCTGACTCAGTAATATAACAAGGTTTTCAAATGCCCAAATGGTTTTCCATTTAGTTTCCATTTCTACTTACTCCTAGTTTCCCTTCATCCTGCTGTGCATACTTCTGGATTGCAAGAGCATCATTATCTGTACGATTTAATTCCTTTAGCCAGCTCTCCAGGACTTCCTCATCACAGTTCATCTGTTCTTTTAAGTCTTCCAACTTCTGAATTGTTTTACTTATAGTATTCTTATGAAATAAGAGAAAATTAAAGGGTCAATACAAAATGTCTAATATTCTTTGAATAGTAACTGAAGCAATCAGTTCAGGCTGCTGCAACAAATTTACACATATCTTGTCCATAGAATTGCTAGGGTTTTTGTTACTTGTGTGTTATACTTGAGGAATGCTGTTGGATGTCCTGCTCTCAAACAAGAAACAAGACAGCATGTTGTCACAAATTTGAAATGCAAATAATTTTAAATAGAAAAGTCAACCTCTGGCAAGTTATACCTATATCCAGGATATTTATTCCACATAATAAACTGATCTGAGGCATCAAAAGGTAAAGTTCCTCCCTCACATGCTAAGACCAAGCTCTTAGATCCTTATCCTACATGTCAATTTTCAAATGTCCCCACGTGACTGTGAAGAGACTTCCTGACACTAAAATGGGACAATCTGCACCCAGCAGAATAGTGAGAATATCTTCATCCTACTACCCATTTGGAGAGACCAGAGATTACAAACAGCCTTAATCAGAAGAAATAGAGCAAATTAAAAAAAAATAATTTAAATAATTCATGGAAAGAAAAAGAGACATTTCCAATCCCAGAAAACCACTTATAATTGGATAGCACTAGATTACTTTTTACCGTGAAACAAATGTTTGATCTTGAAATCATACCCAGAGTTTATTTTATGTGGAGAAGATTGCCACCAACAATTTTTAAACCATAAAGAAAATACCTGTGAGAATTAACTAAACAGTGATATGGATGTGTGGCTCTGTATCTGGCATTAGGAACAAAAGTCTTTCAATATCTAATTAATGTTTGCTAAGTCTTGACAAGTCTAAGCAAGGAGATCCTCAGTGTCCTTTTATTTGCCTTCCCAGGAAAAAGCACATCCAGGTCATCTACTATAGTTCAGAAGTTTTAATTATAATTAGCCATTCTCGACTTATACTACTGTTTCTGTAAGTGCAAGTGAGGACAAGCTATAGAATTTTGCAATACAGGTGTTCTCTTCCAAAAATTTTAAACCTTACTTCTTGTCTGTTTTTCTTTTCTCCTAAGGAAATCAACTCATTTTGCAGTCGTTTAAGGTCACTTTTGAGACGTCCACATTCTCTCTCAGCAAGGGCTTTAAAGTGTTGTTCAGTTTCAATTTCATTCTCTCTGGCTCTGTAAAGATACTGCAGAATAATGAATTGCAGCGTTTTACAATAAACAAAAGGTATATATCAACAAACAAACTTTTTTCTACATACAATCAAATCCCAAGTCACAGATGGTGTGATTTCACCGAGTAAATGTAGGAATCTTCAGAGAAACTTTATTGTTTGGATTTTAGTATCTCAAATATATGTATTCTTATATTTTTATATATATACATATACACACACGTACGCACATTGTATCAAGTATCCACAGATCAACCATTTATAACCCTAAAAACTCAAAGATTTTTCACCCAAGATTCAGAAATCTTAACCTTTCAACATCAAAATCTTAGAATCTTAGTCTCTTAATCACTAGTGACTTTACATCTGATTCAGCAGGTGCAGCAAAATAAAATAAAATAAAAAATTTGTTGTTTTGGGATGAGACAGACCTCCACCAGGCTGGCCTATGGCAGTACCTCTGTATTGTCTAATCTTTCTTCTTCTAATTCAAATTAAAACTTGAATCTGGCATACGAAAAAACCCCAAACATTAAGACATTACTCAGCTGCAGGGAATAAGAGTTTTTCACCTAGGAGATTTTACCTAAAGGGGGTAAAGCTTTGACTCCAGACTCTAGAAATCTAAACTACCCATTTTGGCCAATTAACTCAGCATGTAAGTGAAGACTTACACTTTAACCATGTCACGTCATTTTTCAGGTCTGTAAATTAACTCTTCACTAGCATTTCACCACTAATTCTTGACCATTATAAAGAGTATAAATTTGTTCTTCCCATACACTGATGTTTTGTTTTCCTTGATCAATTTTTTCTTAATAATTTCGAAAGCCCCCATTCATGAAGAATTCTAAAATGTATCCTCCTTGGCTTTCTTCTAGGTACATTCATTTGACTTAGGGCGATCTTCTTAATGACCATCAAATAATATCACTCAGATATATAATTTAATTTTTGTTTCTTGTGGAAATCCTGGGAGAAAAGGCCTAAAAAAAAAATCTCTAACAAAGCTGGCAAAATGTACAGGGATACCAGTCACAGAGAGACACTCAGGTTACAAGTCTGTCTGATAAAGCAGATCAGCTTGTGGTGGTGATTTACCTGAGAGAAGCTTAAGTCTTGTCTCACGTTCTTCAAATGAGCCGTCATGGCCTCTATGCGCTCCTTAAAGTTGGTCAGCTCATTCCTCAGGTTCGCTTTTTCCTTTTGCATCTTCTGCAGCTGTTAAAGATTAGAATCGCCAAGTGACTATTTGCAGCTGAGCGCTTATTACCTGCGACTACTTAAGGATAAGTCATTGCGATTATTAATAAAAAAAATGTAAGAAGCACACGCTGCGTTCCTCCAAAGCATTGAAATGAGAGGTTTCAGGGGAAACCCCCGAGCTTTGCTAAGGGACCGCACAGATCCCGCTCCTCCTCCCGAGGGGCTCGGGGGATGCGGGCCCCACGCTCGGAGGCAGGATCTCCCTCCCGGGTGCCCTCTGCAGCTCCGCGGAGCTCCTAGGTTTTCCCTCCATCCCTCCCTCCCTCCCTCCCCGGCCGCGGGGGGCAGGCGGGCTCCGCTCCCTCCCGGCCGCAGCCCCGCGCTCACTTCGTCCTCCAGCGCCTTGTTCTCGGCGTTGGCCACGGGCACGGCGTAGGCGCTGTCCCAGCCGAGCTCGGCCAGCACCGAGGCCGTGGAGGAGCTGTCCACGCTCTCCATGGCCGCGAAGGTGCCGCGCAGGGCCGGGGCTGTGGCGGCTCCGGGCGCTTGGCAACGGGCGGCAGCGGGAGGCAACGGCGCCTCAGGCGCACCGCCCCCCGGGCCGGGCCGGGCACCGGCGGGGACAGTCCTGGGCTCGGTGCCCGCAGGAACGCGGACTTGTGTGCGGGTCACGGGGGCCTGGGGCCGGTTAACCGTGTTGCGCAGAGGGTGTCAGACCCAGAGCCCCCCCGGGCTCAGCTGCTCCCTGCCGGCGCCAGCCCGAGCCACGGCTCTGTCGGGTCTGGGGTCACAGAGCCCGCCTGCTGCTGGTGGCACCAAATAGTTCTGGGGTCACACAGCAGGACAACATGCCTGCTGCTGGTGGCACCAAATAGGTTTCGGATCACACAGTGGGACAGCCCACCTGCTACTGGTGGCACCAAATAAGAGGGGTCTGGGAAGGTACACAGTGTGTGTCCTGTTTCTGAACTATCTTCACTATTAACAGGTGGGTTCCTGAGCCAGATTGCGTTCAGGTGTCCATAAACACTAATGCTGTGTCCATATGAACTTGGATGTTACCTTTTGTACCCATCTGTACTGCTGGGCTGCAAATAATCACGTGTCATTGAGCTCCACCATTCATGGACGGAGACAGGGACACCAGCCTTGGCAGGAATCATAGGATCACAGAATGGTTTAGGTTGGAAGGGACCTTAAAGACCATCTAGTTCCAACCCCCCCTGCTATGGACAGGGAAACCTTCCACTAGCCTAGTTTTCTCCAAACCCCATCCAGCCTGGCCTTGAACACTTGCAGAGATGGGGCATCCACAACTTCTCTGGGCAAGCTGTGCCATTGCCTCACCATCCTCACAGCAAAGAACTTCCTCCTAATATCTACTCTGAATCTATTCTCTTTTAGTTTGAAAATATTCCCCCTTGTCCTGTCATTACATGCTCTTGTAAAAAGTCCCTAAAAAGAGGAAGCATAGTCTTGATGGAGAAACCCTCTGTTGGTGACTATTGTCTGGCTGAAGCATCTGAAAAGACATTAAAGGAATTAATCAAAGCATGATTAAAAAGTGCCTGAGCAAAACAGCAATAAGCACTGGCAAATGGTTGGGAGATGGTTTGGAGGAGCAAGGAGTTTGCAGTGATGTTTGTTACACAACGAGCCCATGGTATATTAGCAACACTTCCCATAGCAGAAGACACTGATCTTGCTAGATATCTGCATGTGGTATGGGGTATTTTCAGAGAAGAAAAAATTGCTGAAGACAAGTGAAAGTCAATCCTGATAAGGAGGCACCAAAATGGAGACTTGCAGTGTTGTGCAGATTATTGCTGGTCACTTCACTGATCATCCCCTGAGAAGAGTCCCACATTATTATTACTGAAGTATTGAAAGAAAAAATATGAACAATGTTCGGAAGCAACAGTTTCTCTAAAACAGAGGAATGGTACAGGGTTCAGTTCCTCAAGCCACCTGTGGAAAAAATACAGACCTTGTGAGGCAGATCTTTTTTGCCCCTGTTGTCTTACCTGGCATGATGGACTGTGGATGTTTATAGGATGTGCTGAATAATATTTTTGACCTGCTGGAGGGTCCGTGCCAAGAGCCAGGTACTGCAGAGTGCAGTGACCTGACCTGACTGAATGAAAAGGGGAAATTCGAAAGATGCTACAAGCTACTAGAAAGATGTCAGACTACAATGGCACATCACTGTGTACACGGTAGCAGCCCCTTCCTTCCTTCCTACCCAAAACGAGAATCTCCTTTTTCTCACTGCATGTGAAAAATAAATGCAACTTGCCTTGCAGAGATTTTAAATTAACATCTGTAATTCAATGTGGCATTGCAGTGATGAGCACCTGATAATCTTGAGTTGAGCTTGTGTGTGAAATAACATAAGAACACATAGTGCCTGAGAAGAAGAAAGCAAATTATCAGACAGCTGTTTGTTATTAGGTGAGCAGGCAGTCCTGTTTGCTAAGCAAGGCTTCCAATGAAAAATGGTGATTTATAATCACTGCCATAATGTATACATGCAAGAAACCTAATTAAATCAATCTTGATCCAGTTATTTAATACACATACCAAACTTTTGAATTTTTGTAATCATAAACTTTCTGTTCATGTTTTTATGAGTGCAGATTTATACATAGTGTCTGAGAAGTATAAAGTGTTATATGAGTCGAGAGTATTAATTCACAATTTTCATGGAAATTCCAACACTTCAGTTTCTCTTGCCTGACCCTGACTAAACAAATCTCCATGATATGCTTTTCTTTGTACAGCTTTTCCCTTCTCCAGCCTGTGGTAATGTGTTGTGTAAATGCAGAACTGTTTGCCAGCCGTGCTAATCCACCAGATGGTGCTGCGTGTCTGTGCATTTCAGGGGGGTTTTGTTGGTGTCTCTTAAAACAGCAGCATTTATCAACTACTCAGTTAAGAGGGAATATATAATTCCTATTCCTAAATATATATATAAACGCAGAAGGTTGATTTGTTTGTTTGTTTGTTTGTTTTTAAAGTCTACCTCTTATTTTTAAAGGTGTTAGAGAAACAGAAGTATTTGTAACATAACAAGCTATTTTCCTCCTAACATTCCTTATAGATTCAACTTTCACTTCTGTAGGCTGCTGTGCCCATTTGTTCAAACTACCTAAATGTAAACTCATTGTTTCTGTCATTTAAAGGACTTACAGCTCCTCTTGTTCCTGCTAAAAAAAAAAAAAAATTGTTTATTTGTTTATACCCAAGCTCCTTAGATGGTTATTTGTGTGAAAATAAAGATTTCAATTATGATTTGCTTACTAACAAGTGATACTTTTGTTATTTAAAATACAGGTAAATGTTTTTTTCTGACTGTATATCTGAGCTACCTACTGAAAAAAAGACTCATTTAAAAGGTTATTGGATTATTTATAACTAACACAGCATAGACAGTTAGTTTCATTTAATCACTGTTTATAACAAATTTCCTATGTGAATCTGCAAGTCACAGGGTGTTTGATAATGGGATGTCATGGCCCACACTGTATCTTTTCTTTCAGATGGGTACAGACACAATGGAAGAAACAAAAATGGGAAGAGACATTGAGGGGACTGCACAAGTCAGTGTGAGATCAGAACACGTAGGAAGTCTGAAGGGTGGAGGATCTTGCATGATAATGACTTGTGTATTGAGTAAGAATCTCATGTCTATACTGAAATCTGGATCCTGACTGAGACAGGAGAAACATAGTTGCCTAAAAAGGAGAATTGCTCATAATCCAGGTCTGATATGTTATCAGTGAATGACATAAATTGTCTCAGCAATTTAATATATTGGTCTTAGGGAAAAAAAACCAAACCAAAACAACAATGATTTTGAACCAAAATGAAATACCTCTGAAGTTTGAGGAAATTTAAATTTGTCAACAGTAGATTCTCTTTGGCCTGTTCTCTTCTTTTTGCATAGTTTTACTGGCAAAGGCTGTGGTTTTACTGGTACAGCCCAGTGGCTTTTGTGTGGTGGAGATGGGTGCAGAGGAGAAAAAAACATCCTTTTGCCGCAATATTCATTTGAAAAGCTACTATAAAACATTGTGACATAAGGCAATTTATTTTTACTTTTAGGACCTGAGTTTCCACCAAGCCCTGCAAGGGGCTGTGACAGCAGTGCCTTTGGGGCAGGCAGAAGTGATTTGTGTGGGGGTCTGTGCAGCCCCTCTGGGCACTGCCTGGCAAAGGGCGCCGCTGTGGCTGTCCAAGAGCTGCCCGGTGGGTTGGGATGTGCGTTTGCCAAACACTGCTCAGAAAATGTTCATGTAAAACCATTACCAGGTTTTATTTAATAACCTCCTAACCCCCTCTCTCTCTCCTCCTCCTCCCCTCTGTTCCTCTAATGCCTTTTACAGCTCTTGCTGCACAGCGTGAAGCCTTAGAGCTGTATTCATCAATGACTCACACCCTTGCTTAGGGGCCAATTTTCATGGAAACTATACAGGAAAATTTTGAAATGCACCTATCTCATGCAGGGCACAAGATGATTTCTCTATTCATTACTATTCCAAAAGGGCTTGTTGTCCTTTGGAAATGGTCAGATATTGCTTACATTTGTGTGTGCATGCATACGTATGCAGAGCTAACTTGCCTTTAGATTTGAGTGGTCTAAAAATAAAAATGTATTGTTATTATCATTGACACCAGTCAGCTGAAAGGCAACTAAGGTCCTGCTTGCACTGAGTGGAAGCAGGCAAATGCAAAAGAAAATGCAGCAGTGTGCTTTGGGTGAGCAAATCCTACAGACTCAAGCACAAAACTTGTTAAAGTTCACCCTTTTGTTTGATGATATGAGTATCAGCCTTCTGAGGAATTTGGGAGTAAAGCCACGGACTTACTCTGAGAAATCAAACTGCACTTTTGCCTCCAGAAGTTTTTTATGTAGGTCACGGTCGTAGTACATTTCTAAAACACTACAAGAAAACATGTTCCTTTCCTTTAAGACATCACATGTTAACTCAAGTTTTTAGCTCTGGGGAGGAGATAGAGGTAAAATTATTAGCCCAAATGACCTTTTGGTTTAAAATCCACATGATAGAAGGGGAATCTTTACTGCAAAATTACCAGTTATAGAATAATTGCATTTTCAGGGGTTGCTAATTATATTCAAAATTACATTAAACAGTTTTGGGGAAGGGACTGAAACTGCTTAGCATAAAGCAGTTTATTTACGCATGTACAAAGTAGCTTACATCCCTAAGGGATTAAACTAATTGCAATATTTTAATGTGAGTTGTAAAAATTGTGTCATGCAATGATGAATCAGAACTTGCAGGAAAAAAGAGGGCAAAATACACTTTTGCTTTTCATAATTTTTCCAACAGGCATTTCAGATCATAATTCTAAAAATAGCTTTTTCCCTCTCTTTGTTTCTTAAACAGAATGGAAAAATCCCTTTCTGCAGATCAAGCCCATCCACCGACATTAATTTTTGCCTTCGATCTGCTCAGGTGAGTTCCTCAAGAATGTGTTAGAGACCAGATTTGTTTTTTCCATATTTGTGGATGTTGTTTTTCCAAAGTGGATTATGCTAATAACATAACTTTTGGCTTGGCAGATAAGTTTTGTCCTAACGAGAGAGCATTTTCTTACAAGAGTGCACAGAATTACCAAGCTCCTCATGTATGTTACACAAATCAGGAAAATTCATGACCCTGTCAAAGCCAAGAAATAGGCAGAGTCCTGTGAATACAGTAGCATGATCCTTGTTTTAGAGATGACAAAACACAGGCAAAAAAAGAAGATAAGTGAATTCCCTCACATTGCCCAGAATACAAAGTAGGAAATTAAAAATTTATTCTTTGCCTTTTATTCTCAGGCGCAACTTTAGTACTTTTATGAAGTAACTGCTGTTTACCTGGGTAGCCTCTAAGTTCTTCCTTTCTAAAGTCCATTTGTGCTGTAGAGAGTATGTAGGGATTGTAAATGTACTCCTAAGTAGCATTCCACAGTTGAACTAATTGCCAGGCCAAGCAAGAGACCACAGTAAAGGGGTGAATAATTTGATCCAAGATGGATTTGTACTCTACCAACACAGCCTGAAATCTTCTAATGCTTTTGGATTTGATTGTGAGCTGTTCATTGTTGTTTGAGCCTGTTCTTTTCTATTACCATATTTTCTCTGGATATCATTTCTGTGTACCTTATCTTTGTATAAAAGGCCACATCTTTACCATATTCCCAGGGAGTAGTCAGTAGAGGCATACAAAATTTACTGCTGTAGACCAAAGTAAGACAGATAAAGGTAGTGCGTTACAAAGTTCTTGCCCTCAATCATGCAGAAGGCTCTCTATGCCTCTCTGAGCAGTGGTACCTATGGGGCTGTACTGTAATGGGAGAAGGGTTAACAGCAAACCAGGACATTTTCTGCAGTAAAAGGAGATGGAATCTTCTCTAAGCAATTACCTTTTATATGATAAACAATGTCAGTGGTCAATAGAGGGAGTTTTCTTACCCTAATCCCCTTCCATTCAGCTTAAAATAAAAATGCTATTCGTTTGACTAGCAGGTTGGGGTATCATGAAGCCTGATCATACCTGTTTGCATGTTACATTTATCTGCCAGCAGAAGGGTTACTACAGTAACCTTTCCTTAAATAAAAAACAATACACTAATAAATGCATGTTACAGCTTTAGTGGTGTAAGGTGCTTTTGTGAGACGTGTCTATTGGCACGCTGCAGTCTTTTTGGAATACAGAGTGCACTGCTATTTATTACAGATTCTGTTGGCATCATGAAGTTGTAAGTAGCTTCTCCTGTACTTTTAGCTTCTACTGACTCTGAAAATCCAGCTTTAATTACTAATGGGTAGTATACAAAACAATTTCCTTCTGGTAAAGGATACACATAATCTGTCATCATTAGATATCTGCTGGCACTACACATAGCTTGTGCTTTGACCAACCCTTAGGGAAGGGGAGGTTTGATAAAAGAGAAAAGCCAAAAGCCATTATACATATTTAAGGTACTGAAGAATTTAAAGATTACAACAGCATATCCTTTTGAACATATGAGCTGTGACTTTCAATGGACGTGATGTTCCTCGTGGATGTGGTGAGATGTGACAGAATGGCCACACAGCTGAGTATTCCATAGCTGAGTAGCCCTCAGCTCAGTTACAGGACACAGAAAAATCAGAGCTTCAAGGCAGCATGCTTATAGCTTTCTCTGTCTATTGTTCTTTCTAGTGGAGCGCAGCTACTGTGATCTCTTTCCTGACCATTCTATCTGCATTGGAGTATTTCTGGAATTTCTTCTGCTTCCACAGCCAACGATTACGAAATCTTACATCTGTATATTATAGTTGAAATAGTCCAATGTACATTTCTATGGAGGCATGAAAAATCATACATTCCCTATCAAACTTACAATGAGGCTATCAAGTGTTTTGTATGCAGACATCAGATGGCCCCAAGACTTGTTGCTGTGCTTAGTATTTGGCATGGAATGTCAACATCTTCATGCAGTAGTTACTTGATGTCTCTAAAGTGCATATTTGCTGTCATGTTACTGCTCTGTGTATAGTAAAATGCTATATAGGACATAGCATAATCTTGTTTGATATTATGATCCTGTAATTTTCTTTAAAAAGATTAATCTTGTAAATACTGTAAATTTATATTAGTAGTCGCAGTAAGCTGTTTAAGGTTTATGTGAAGCAGCATTATTTATATTTATAGTCAGTGACCCTGATACCTTGTACTTAGAGTTGAGATATTTTTATGTTAATTTGTTTCTTTATTTCCTTGGCCTTGGCTAAAAGAACTCCAAACACTATTAGACTTGATTTTCAAAAGATCTTCCAAACTACATATATCTACAATCTACTCATAGATTTTGGAGGTATTTTAACACTTATTGCCATTTCATATTGCCATTTAAGTCATTAGGGGGTGAGTAAGGTACACCTAGAAATACAAAACATTATCTCTGAATTAGCCTCTTTGAAGTGCATTTCATTGCTGTATCAGTCATTGCAGAGAAAGGTTCTGAGCCCAGGAGCACAGATGAAAATATATACAATCCTTTTAAAAGGTAGAATATTTGAATTTAGGTTGCAAAATAGACAGTTGCCCTTCCAACACCTAATGCATTCCTGACACAATGGAGGGGAGGGCAGGAGCAGTGTGCTGAAAAATTAGGCACTGCAGACAAAAACTTGACAGACTGTCTTGCTCCCAGTGTCACAATATGAACGGGCCTGGTAAAAAGTAATGGCCATTATCCCATCTCACTGAATGACTTAAATGACTTACAGCCACATGCAGGGAAAGTTCTTTGGACTACTTCCATGGAGGTTTTTTTTTAATTTAATTTGCATGATAAGATGTACAAGCCAAGGTTTTTACAGTTTAAACAGCTTCATTTTTCTCTGACTCCTGTATAAAGTATGGATAATTTCACTGGAGTCATTGGAGTAACTTCATTATCAAATGGATGCTGTGAGAGCACTTTCTCAGTCTTTAGGCAACTTTCCGGTTGTTGCTTCTCTATGCTCATGGTGAGCTCCTATTTACATCTTCCCTAAGGCTGGAGTTTCTAGGCACACTGGGCACCCACCCAACACTGTTTATCTGGTGTTCTCAGGAGAGATGGTCCTTACGGATCGTGCCAGTGTTGTACAAGACATAACTTGGGTCAACATCCAAGATTCTCATGCACCCAAGCAACTTCTGTGTTGGCAACTATCTGGAAAATGTAGGTATTCTAATAAATACAGTGTTGTATTTGCACATTTACAAACACTGCCTCAGGTTCACTTGAATGTTTTGTCTTTGATTTTCCAGGCTGGTACCTACATCCTGGGTTGCTGGCCATGCCTCTCGTTCGTACCTTTGTCAGAAATCCTGTCTTGGACTTAAGATGCTTTTCTCCCTGAAGTTTCACTAAAATTGGTAAACTCCTGTGAAAAGTTTCGATTCTGAGAAGAACAGTTTTCCTGAAGAATTCCCAGCAAGTTCTTTACAAAGGTTCTGGTAAAAGCAACTGTTCTCTGTCTCCATGTCCAGTTACTCCTGCTAATTTGAAAGCATAGCCATGGGCTTGAGAAAAGCAGCTCTATGAGCAGAAGCAGTCAGAGTCTAAATGTAAGGGGAGAGGAGAGGGACCAAGGGCTGTGCAAAGCTGAAAACGCTGTATAACACAGGAATATGAGGTGCCAAGCCTGGACCCTGTTGTGTTCTACAGCTTCTGTAACCTGACCTGAACAGTAAATCCTCCAACTACTTACAATTGGGGCCATACATTTACACATGTACAAAAGCCAGGAGAAGGTTGCTTATACCTGCTCAACCAGTTGCTGTTAGTGTGTAAAGTTGTTAAAAAGCACACGTGGAGCAGCCACGAGCATGATGTGATTCCTGGGCTTTTCATCTGCCATCCACACTAACTGCCATCTGGAGTGCCCATGGACAATGTGTGTGAGCATAAGGTTTTCTCTGGGAGTACCTTAAGCCATGCTTATATGAGCAGCATGTCTACTCTGAGAGCACATTGAAGTATGACTTGAGAGGCAGCAGAAGGTGCTGTTTGTCTTTTGTTTATTGCTAATGTAGATGAGATAATGTAAATAATGGCAGGCCAAAAAAAAATTCAGATTGTTGCAATTGCAACATACTAGTAACTACTTTCTTCCCTTTGCAGTGGAAATGTATTTAGCAATCTATTCCCATTTATTATTTCTGATGGAAGCAAAATCTTAACACATAATTAGCCAATATTTCATATACCTGAGTCTATGTTCATTCTTCCAGCATCCTCCTCCATCTTTTCTCTCCTCCTTCTCTTTTTTTTTTTTTTAATTTGTGGTTAGGCAGGGTTTACTGTAAAATAATATTTTTGTGAACTATTACTTGCATAAGATCAAATAATAATGTATTCTCTTTTATAACCTTTGTTCTGATGTGCTAAAATCATATTTTTTGGCAGTGTAGCACTCTGCTGATGAAGCCTGAAGTACATGACAATATGACTGGAATTCATCATCAAGTAAAGAGTGTAGTGAATTTTGCACCAAATCATCACAAAGTAATCTTGCTTTCCTCTCTGGTCTTACTCTAAATGTGATTTGCACTCTTATGGAAAAAGGACTTTGTGATGGTTTTGATGTTACATACAAATGGTCTTGCTTTGTAAAATTTCCATTATGCCTGTTTACGTTTAGCAGCAGTGCTATTGATTCAAGCTGTACTGATTGGAAAGTAGAAGTCTTTAACACTGAGCCCCTTCAAAGTTTTTCACAAATTTGTGGCATTTTGCCAGCATTGCTCACAAAACAGCATAGAGCTGCTGGGAGGAAATGTTCCAGCTGCAGGGATAACTGGAGCCAAAAAGTAACATCCAAATAGAAATTATCCAGTTCGTGATTTCACTTTGATCACCAGATGTTTGTCATGTGACTTCAGCATTAGAAAATAGGAGAGAGGAGAAAGTGATGGTGTGGTGCTTAGCT